CCCCCCCCTGAATTTCTACTCAGAATGGCTTTGTTTTAACCCATGGACCTGTTTTCAAGTTTCCAATCGATACCGATAAGCAAAAAATAATAATACCATAATGAACGATATGAACGCATCTGACCAGGTAAGTAGAAAAAAAGGGAAATTTCAAACCAAAATTATCAGTTTAGAATTTCCCAAATTTAACTTTTAGCGTATACAAAAGATATACGACAGATGAAAGTGTTTCCCAACAGTTTGTTGAAAAAAATGCTTATGTGTTTCCACAAATTAGCAGATAACCTTATATATAATAGTCACATTCCTTTTGCTGCTGTCGACGATTCCACTCGTAGCAACGACGTATCGAGGCAGTCGACAGGTAAGTAGGGGTTTTAATTTTAACTAATTACATAACAAAAATTCATGTCAGCAACTTCGTAGTCCATGTTTTTGCATTATTTTGCGTTTAATTGGTTTTATATTCTCCCTCATTATATTCGTCCGAATATAAATCAATTAAATTCAAATGATAACACAAGACATAAATGGGATTATAGCTCGTTGCTCATTCATTTATTATAATCCACAGCCAAATACAAAACCACACCTTACCACTATATCCTACCCCGACTGGCCAACATGCCTCTACTAATAATTGCATTTGAATGTGTTCATAAAACAACATCCTTGCATTATATATAAGAACATTTACATGTTTAGTTACAGTGATGGGCAACGAACTAAAAAAACGCAGCTAGCATGTGCTCCCTATATATACCCTTCACCACGTGACATCCACCCGACACGTCTTCATCCGCATACGTACGGAAACAACCGAAGTTTATGTGATGTACTTGCAATAAATAATTTTCAAACTGCTTTTCCAATTACAATTCATCACTCTTTAAATGTAAGATGTAGAAAAGGCGGGTATAATAACGGAATATTACATTTTTAAATTTATCGTTGACAGATGTAAATGCTTGAGGATAGGCTACACAAGTTGATGACTGATTCACTAACAGTAAAATGTTCAGTTCATTTATCAATCAATAAAAGCAGCCACACAGTATTAGTGATCTCATTCGACAAGACAGTGTCGGGACCAATTTGCTAAACAAACGAGATAATGTTTGATTATTAAACAAATAAGGATACCGTCATTTTTATTTGTATCTCAATTTGTTGTCACTATTTTCATATAAAGCTTAGCACATAGTAAAGTAATTATTTCCCATTATAGTTTTCCTGTAATCTTGTCCCAATGTCGTAGTTGTCATATTAATATATTTCTACTCTAAATTAAACGATAAATATTAGCAAGTAAAGCCTATATCGTTTTGTTTTCAAAAACTAATGGTGTGTTTTACATGAGTGTTTTGAAATAACACATACATGTATATCTATAAAATATTTAAAAAATATGTAAAAATATTTTAATAAAACAACACAAAAAATACAGACTATCAACAAAATATAACTTCGAACTTAAATCACTACAATTATGACGAAAAAGAATACAACAACTTTAACATGGAGACAACTGAAAAACTTCACCGTGAATAAGACCAGGTATTCCGGAAGGATAAGCGGCTTCTGCTTCATCGAGAATAAGACCTTCCATAATTCATATTTGTACCTTTCCGAGGTTATACTGAAATGGGTACCCATTTGTAGTTAGAACAGTTATAAATACATTTATAACACTGCAGTGCCGACTGTGTTTCTTTTATTATAATGGTGATAAAGACAATGCCATGTCCACAATATGGAAACCAGGATAGTTACAACGAACCCGACAGGCACAATTGTGAGCAGAATGAAAGCGTCAACCCTTGCCAATGTGATACAAACCAAAATAATTATCCCCAGCCTTCATCAACCTGAATCGCCTGAGAAATTGTGTTTTGAATTTGTGTTTCAGCTTCCAACATCTGTTACGGAAATAATGATATTTGGAGTTATCACATGAATACCGAATCAGCTGTGACATGTAAACACAGATCTTAAAAGATAAATGGTCATACTTATCGAAATGTGTTTTTACTCACTGTGTAGTTGGTAAATACTAGCATCATTGGGGTTTATCAACCGAGACTGTTACCTGTATAATGCGATATTGAATATTAAACAAATGTAGTATTACACGCTATCTATACACATACTTGTCAGACACTTCTGTTTACAAAGATCTATGCGGTTACCAGGGTTATTGTAACAAACAGCTGTTTCCATTTATATATTCAGCAATAATATACTTAAATGATGATTTATCGCCATATTATGATTAATCTTCTGTACAATAAATGTAGCGGATGTATTTAGATGTTATATTCCAGTATGTTCCTAATATATACCATATTCCTGGCCCCTCGGGCTGATATAATCCGCATACGTTATTAACATTGTAAAATGTAAACAAATGTATCACATTATCCAGATTCATAGCAGGAAAACATGTCGTGCTGCGACTGATGTAGAAAATTGTTTCTCCCATAACCGACCTCGGTTTCCTCACTCCTGTCTTGTTTGACTAACTTGCAAGATGATTGTAAACATGTTTTGTCACCCACTGTTGTTTAACACCCTGTACGTGATTTCATTTGTCAATCTTTGAATTATAACGTCAAATAACCATGCTTTGCGCCGTCATATCCAATTGTGAAGTCATCATTTTACGGAAATAGTTTTACAGTCAATGCGTTTGCTTTTGATTTTTTTTCTTGTCATTTCAATCTAATAGATTAAGATTGATGCAAACCGTTTCGTAAATGTCCTTTTTATTTTAATTAGTTTTGCCTTAAAATGTAGATGGATCGTAAAACAACGCAAACAAAAAGAAACAACAAACAAATCAATCCTAACTTTCACATCTGTACTGTGTTACATGTCACGCGTTATCCTAATCGGTGATGAATGTCAATTGAGTCAAAAGACATACGTTTGCCGAAACGGCTGATATGGGCCCAGCAAATGCGTGACAAAATAACTGCTTTGGTGAGGCAGTTGCCAGAGACATTTTATCCTGACAAGTGCTGTTTACTAAAGCTGTTGCCATGAACATTACTTACTAAATATAGAGGCACCTCCTAATTACTAAAATAGTTGCCGTGGCGGCTGCTGTGGACCATCGTAGAAACATTCACCAATGGACAAAAACGTCAACAGTGACAGTAAGTTTGACTGAAGAAACTGGTAAAAGTCATGGATACACTACGAACAGTGCACGTTGTGACCAAGTGTTTATCACAAGGTCAGAACCAATCTACACAAAGAGCCCCAGCCTAAACGTGTTCATACATGCGATGTTTCTAATGAGGAATATGATGAACTGTTTGTAGGATCGTTGCATATACATGTGGGTTCGATGGACGGACTTGGTGTTCATAACGGAAAATGAATGAAAACTGTTATTGAACAATATACTCCGATAACACTTTAATTAGATTCGGGAGCAAAATGTAATGTGTTACCATGACGAGAACGCACTCTCAAACACAGTCCAATAACCTCCCCCTTATTTTCACCACGCCGTCAGAAATAAAGGCAGCGTGGTCCGACAATGTTCCTACAATGCCCAGGTCAGTTCTGGGCATTTTGTTTTATGTTGTAGATCTAGATATTCAAAGAATGTTAGAAGCAAAGGACTGTAAGGACTAAAGAATTATACAACGTATCTGTACACTCACACGTAAATCGCCAAGCTATTATAATGAATTCCATGGCCAGGGATGTCTGTTCTGAACCTACTCGATCAAGACTGACCTACCCGTACCACCAGTCGTCCAACCTACAAATTTTTCGTTTTCATTAAGAGACAATGTGTTGGCAGAAGTTAAACATATGGAGGGTAACCCTTAAAATGGGCAAACTCCATTGCAACCGTCGCAAAAACAAATGGGGAAATTCGCATATGCATTGATCCTCGCGATCTCAACAAAGCGATTCAGCGAGATCATTTTCTCAACAAAAAAAAGAGGCAGATGCTGCTGGTATGGTGACTGGGGCAAAGATTCTCAGCAAGCGAGACGCTACGTCTTCCCTTTTTGGTGTGAAGTCGGTACCTGAAGTCTTTCAGAGAGTGACAACGCAAATGGTGTAATGTCTACAAGGCACTGAAGCTACCATCGACGATATTTTAGAGTGGGGAGCAAACATTGAGTAACACAACAAATGCCTGACCGCTGTATTTCACTGTGCGCGCTAATATGGACATCAAATCATTGTGGAAAAATGTATAACAGGGAAAGCTGAATTTACCTTTGTCGGTCAAAGATTCACCGAGTCTGGTCTTAAACCAGATCCTGAGAAGTTCGTACCTTTGAAAAGATTCCAAATGCCAAAGATTTACAAACTTTCATAAGTCTCATCCACAATCTAGGCAAGATCTTTGTCTAAACATGTTCTTTATCCTCAATAGATACAGTTTATTAG